CTTCATTTTGTTGTCTTTCGCCAAAAAGACTTGTCATTTATGTGCGTTTTTTAGAAGTATACTAGTTGTGTGAGTAGTGTTACTATGCGTGTAATTTTGAGTGAATTTTCGTTTTAAAAGTAAACTAAATAGACAGCGTTTCAAACTCAGTCTTTATAATTGCTCAAAAAGCAACATCATACTTCGTTGGTGTTCTAATCTTTTCTTTACATTCCGGGTATCTAAGCACCTGCTGCTGTTTTGCTGGCAACGCATTCATTGTTACTCACTTTTTGTTGATATTGGCAATCAGCTATACAATTTATGTAAAAGAAGGCACCACATCCTTTTTGTTTATTTACATCAAAAACTTTGGATTACCACTGAGAATTAATATCCATTATAAAACAACTAATTCCGATCTTCAGACAGATTTTTGTTCGTCACATGCATCACATACCAAGCGAAACATTGCACTTAATCTCGCGAGAATACTATTTCGCATGATTTCTAACTACTTCACCTTCACTATGGATCACTTGAAATCGTTTCTTAGTGTCCAGCATTATATAAAATAATTAACTGAAAACTGCTTTCGGCGAGCACAACTTCATTCCCGGCCACAACAGGATCTCTAATGGCATCAATTATAGTTCATTTCGTATACGAACTTTTACAACTCGAACAGTTTTTCTTTTTAAAATCGCTTGTGTATACATTTTACACATCAACACATGCGGATTGCTTCAGTTTCAAAAAAAGATTTGTATTCTCGGCAGCAACCAAAAGTCTACCGGCAATGCTCGCAACCCAATGTTCAGAAAATAATTCAAGACAGGACTTCATACGATGTAGAGGTGCTAGACTGCTGCGGGTTTAACCCAATTCCACTTCCGACATGCAGGTCCAGATTCGGATTCAGGACGGGTTTGAGTTCATCTGGCCGGGATTGGGGTTCTTCTTTAAAGGTTGCATTATTTTTTTTTCAGGTAACTTCTACTATTTTATTCAAGAAAAAATTAGAAAAGAAAAATCTGTTTCTGAGTCTGCCAAACGCTTATTATAAACATAGAAACAGAAAAGAAAAATCTGTTTCTGAGCCTGCCAAACGCTTATCATAAACACACAAATAGAAAAAAGTCTTTTCTTAAGCCTGTTGATTATCACTGTCACTAAAACTACCATCACTTTGATTAAGTTTCTTCTTCTTGGCTATTAATTGTTTATGTTCATCATTTTCATTTGACTATTTTCCCTTACCAGTACTTTTATCCATCGATATTCGAGCATCGACATGTTTTAATCAACACAAGTTTTTTTAAAAACATTAACTTGTTAGAAATTTTCTAATGCACAAATGAAGGAGAGCACTACTTCACTGCAAAAAAAATTTTCGGGTTCAAGCGGAATTGGGGCGGATTTAGTTTTGAACGATATTCCGAAATTACCGATCTGGACTCGGGACGGATTTCAACCCTATGGGACGGAATCGGGATCGAAGATGTTAAACCTGCAGGATTCTAAAAGATGTCCAAACAAGATATTGTCTATGCCTAAATTTACACGAATCATCACACTGCATGTTTCTCAGTCGGCAGATCATTAGACCCAATACAAATATGACTTGCGCAGCTAAAAGTCTGGTTTACTGATTATTTGTAAAAAAAAGAATATATTAGCGAAATAAAGAAAAGCGCTAGCACACTGGTGTTCAGAGATTGCTACAACATGATTCATACATCACGTTGATACTCATTTGATAAATTGCTTAAATAGGAATTTTCTACTCTTATGTTTGAAAAAATCCATATTTTAGATGATTTCACCGGAAAACATTATCAAAATATCCTCATCAAAAATATCTTCTCGAACTAATCAAAGAACAGCAAGTATGGCAATAATTCTTTCATGCAACTTGAACGACTCATTCGTTTTTGAATAGAATCAACAGAAGAAAGAACTTGTTGACAGACAAACATTCAAAGAAAAAACCTTTAAACTTTCATTCGATACTTCTAAAAACTAGACGAAAGTTTTCTAAATATCCCTTGAATACTCCACCAACAAACGACAAGTTACCAATCATGAGACAAGACATACTGAAAGAAAAAGAACAATTTTAGTCTACGTCACTCTATTTTTTCGCCCCTCTTCGTACTGGTGCGATCATCAACAAAACCATGATCGATCGCGCAAAAACTGTTTCAGAGAATACACAAAAAACACATGGTAAAGACCTAGGGTTCGTCTTCGATTCATACGGAAACATACTAATGTTTTATTTTCAGTATATTGATAACAACAACACATTATTCTAACGAGGAAACATTCCCAAGTGAAGCACTCCGATTTTGTTCCAACCTGGCGATTTATATGTAATGAAGGGCGCTGATTACGAATATGATAGCTGTTTGTGCCCATAGACCTTTCCTAGCGTTTCTCTGGAGAACCAGTTTTTTAGAAATTCCCTGAAACCCTAGCAATGTTTTATCAACATGTTGGGATTCTAGTCTGGAAATTTTGCATCAAAATGAGACCCTTCTCAGCTCTCCACGACCTTTCTTTGCAAAGTTACAGAGTTTACAAGAAGCCCTAAATGTTCATTGTCAGCTCAGAGATATAGAAAGAAAAAGGAAAATTAATTTAGAGCTTCTCTTGTAAATTCTATAACTTTCGATATTCGTAATCAGCGCCCTTCATTACATATAAATTGCCAGGTTTGAACAAAATCGGAGTGCCTCACTTGGTAATAGTCCCTCGTAAGAGTAACAATATACGTCTCTATTTACCTAATATCCATATTTCTATACACCATATTTCTATACAAGACATATCTTCGAAAACATCAGATGACAGATAGGTTCAGGTGAACATTTTCAAAAGGAATGTTAAGAGAAAAGATGAATTACCCAATAATGTAGAAGTATTATTTTCATATACGACGAAAGAATTGAAAATGACAGTATCGTCATGATGTCGCGAGCTTCAAAATTAATTGAAAATTCTCGATATATGATAATAGAATGTCTCCGACTCATTAACTAAATACAGACAATGATTTACATGAACTGGTCGATTCTACCATCATCATAATCACAGAATAGATAATATTCCAGTATCATAAATACAAGATCTGTGTCGAAGGTGCTAACATTTTCGTAAAAAGAGAGTAGATTCAGTACAAAGTGATATTAGACACAACCATTGTGGGTGGTATCATGATCAATATTTTCACAAAATATTTCTCAGTCATACATTAACACAATGATTGTGACATTATTGCAAAATAAAATAAATGAAAAACTTTACCGAGATATACTGTGGTTTGAATGTACGGCATTATACACACAATTTTTCGGATGATTGAGTTTGAAGG